GTATCTCCCAGGGCAAAGGGTGTCCTGTCAGCTTGTTTCTCAAAGAAGATTATTTTCTCCTCGATCAGGATTGGAAATAGAAAATGAGAAAAAGACGCTACAACATACAAATCTTGTATGTCTTTTGTTGCGTTCATTTCCAAATTAATACTACTTTTTTTGTAAGTATTGGATGCAAGTAAGGAATGCTCTCAGCTATCAAGTGTTGAAGACTGTAATTGGTTTACATTCTGGGGACTCGGGGGAGTGTTCAAGTCTGTCAGTCATCCGCCGCATCCCGCATTGGACTCAACCCATAGAACGACTAGAATTTGTACTTCACTGAGAAATTGTGATTGCAAATATATCATTTCAATTTCTGAAAGGCGTTGTGTATTCACAAATCATTCTCTCAAGCTGCAATGTAGGGTTTTACCTGCATTGTAGCTGTAGTACTTTATAAAGTACTGATATGCGTCAACTCGTCCAAACAGACCGTACAAACCCTTTATATTATCACAGGGACCATATTCATAGTCCCCGACGTCGCATTGTGGCCGACAAAAATTACCAGAAGATAAATGCGCAGTTATTACATAACTGGACGCCTTCATAGCTGAATATTTTAACGAGTCTCAGAACATGTTTCGGAATGGAGCACATAAATCATTATAATGGATTTATGGCCACGTGGGAAAGGTAAATACGACATCTATGTCACAAGTAAACACCTGTATTGTGTGGTAGATTATATCTGCGAAGCCCCTTTTACAGCTTAAGGGACGAGTGGGTAGCCAAGTGGTTATAGCTTTCCCTTTACCTGCTTTACGTAGTAAACCCTGGGGTGATTCTTCACCTGCTTGCAGAGCGAGAAACCCAATAACAACCTATAAACATGGTTTATTTATTAGTTGTTTGTTTGTTGAATTAATTAATTAATTAATTTTAAACCAACCAACTGTATCAATAACAAATGCAACATTTTGATTGCGTTGTTTTGTTAAAGCAATTTGACATGCAACCATGAAGCTTCCGTTCTGCTGCTGTAAATAATGTATTCCATGAACTATTATGAACTGTCCTAATTACTAATTGTTAAAGTGATTTTGTAAGTATTCATGCAAACAGAAAGTCATACGATCATCCAGTGGTGTCATGGTGAAGCAACGTGCTGTGCAGGGTTACCCCCTTACCACCACTCTCCCCAACCCACACCCAACCACACCCTACCCAGCTTCCACCACCCTAGCCCTTTTGGCAGTGGCAGCTTCGGTCGAGTGTACGACTCCACCTTTAACCCAGATTGTAATTCTTTATCTTTCAGCAGCAAACCGTGTTGGTTCGTGGTCACTGCCACTTTTAGTTCTGGTTTCAAAGAGAAGAACGGGAGGTCCATTTGAGGGTCAGTTCGTTTGTGAAAGAAAACTACGACCGACATGGGACTTCAGCTTATAGATTAATCTCATCTTATCGTCCCTTATCAATGTAAAGTCTCATTTCAATTAGATATGGGTGCAATTGATTTCCGTGAATACGCTTTGCCTTCGTCATTAATAAATGACCAGTAGGTGATCGTATTCAACAACGAGTCAAGGCAGAGTTTGTTACACGAAAAGCAGGTAATACAAGTGCAAGGAGCTAGCAGTGACTTCAGTAAACCATATCCCCGTTTGATGTGTCACACCATCAGGTCCCACTGACTGAGTGTAACAGCTGCGTGCTTAAACAGGCAGTAGGGATAGCGTGACGTAAAACAGCATGATAATCGGGATCGTACAGCTTGTACAGTTGTAGCTTATTCGTGTCATGGCTCGACATGTACAAGATATGTTTGTCGATCGGTGACCTTCAACTTGAGCTACCGCATGATGTACACATGCAAATACATTCGTGAGATACACAAGGCTCCAACATGTAGGTGCCGCCCCGATATACCGATTCAGGTACCGATGTGTCATATATACGACCGTGACATTCAACTGTAAACACATACTTCCTCATTATACATTTGAATAATGCTGTTAATTATTGTGTCAGATACCACGTGGATATGCAGCTGTGGATACCGTCGTCAGTTTCAGCTGAAGATAACAACGCTTATATACTCTCCCCAAAAAAAACATCGTGAAAATAGCAATTTCATGTAGCAATGAATTTAAACGTGATTCATTTTACAAAAGGTTTTGCTCTGTTTATGAGTCCTATGGTGTTTATGTTTTGAAACATCACAACAAAACGCACCATCCGTAAAATACCCGTATTTAACAGCATGATTTTCAATTTCGGCGTGTAGTGTCACAGAAAACACAATTCACATGCAATGCACGTGAAAGTTGGGGATCAGATAGTCTCAATAAAGGGTATAAAAAGGTTGATCGCTGTCTGTCGATTATTCACTGTATTTGGAATATTGTTGACGAACGCAAAATGCCACGTCTAAGTGAAGCCAACCGTCATATCGCCATTGGTTTGCTTGAAGCTGGCCAGTCTCAACGTGCAGTTGCCCGACGCATGAATGTTCAGCAAAGCACCATTTCACGGCTCTGGGAGAGATATCGCCGGCAGAATGCGGTAGCAGATGCCCCGCGTAGTGGGCGACCTCGAGCGACCACTGCTGAGCAGGATCGCTACATCCGGGTACATCACCTGCGTCATCGAACAGCTACGGCGACCAGTACCGCTCGACAACTACCCGGATTGAGGAGGCTTTCTGCACAGACCGTCAGGAACAGGTTTAGAGAGGCTGGTTTACTTGCCAGAAGACCTTATTTTGCCCTGTGCTTCGACAACAACATCGTAGAGTTCAATGGTGCACCAACGTTCAGGCCTGGAAACTACCGAATTGGCGTAGTATCTGGTTCAGTGATGAATCACGATTTCTATTGGAACGACGCGATGGAAGAATGCGGGTGTACAGACGTCGACGTGAACGTTTCGCCGACGCTTGCGTTCCCCAGGTGGACAGATTCGACCGGGGATGTGTTATGATGTGGGGGCGATCACCTGCCGTAGGAGAAGTGATTTGGTGATGATCCAGGGCAACCTGACAGCTCAACGGTACTGTGACGAAATCCTACGCCCACATCTCCTTCCAATCATTGATCGCCAGAGGGATTTGTTTCAACAAGACAATGCCAGGCCCCACAAGCACGTCACTTCCTCCACAACCACAACATCAATGTGCTCCCCTGGCCCTCAAGATCACCGGACTTAAACCCGATCGAACATCTGTGGGATGCCCTGGACAGACGGGTGCGACGCCGTAACCTTCAGCCCCAGACACTTCAGCAACTCGCACAGGCACTACAGGCAGAGTGGGTTGCGATTCGGCAACACGAGATTCTGAGACTTATTCGTTCGATGCAAAGGCGGTGCCGTGCAGTTCTGGATGCCCACGGTGGTCACACGAGGAACTGACTTCAGCGCCACCACACGTCTCCATGTGACACTCAAACTGACTTTCCTCGAGTTTGTGCCAAAGACGGATAAGTCTGCATTCCCAGTGTGCAATTTCGCTATATTTCATTGACTCATAAAGCCTACAAGATGTTTCAAAATAAACATAAAAATACAGTTGAAATTCCTATATGCGTTTCTTTTTGAGAGAGCATATATTAATGATACCGTCAAGAGCTACAACTGCAGATACCAGGGTAAAATATGATTGTGGATATCGTCAAGAGCTACAACTGAAGATACCAGGGTAAAATATTGTTGTGGATATCACCAAGAGCTACAACTGAAGATACCAGGGTAAAATATTGTTGTGGATATCATCAAGAGCTACACCTGAAGATACCACGGTAAAATATTATTGTGGATATCGCCAAGAGCTACAACTGAAGATACCACGGTAAAATATATTGTGGATATCATCAAGAGCTACACCTGAAGATACCAGGGTAAAATATTATTGTGGATATCACCAAGAGCTACAACTGTTGATACCACGGTAAAATATTATTGTGGATATCACCAAAAGCTACAACTGAAAATACCAGGGTAAAATATTATTGTAGATATCATCAAGAGCTACAACTGAAGATACCACGGTAAATTATTGTTGTGGATATCATCAAGAGCTACACCTGAAGATATCACGGTAAAATATTATTGTAGATATCATCAAGAGCTACAACTGAAGATACCACGGTAAATTATTGTTGTGGATATCATCAAGAGCTACACCTGAAGATACCGCGGTAAAATATTATTGTGGAGATCACCAAGAGCTACAACTGAAGATACCAGGGTTAAATATTATTGTGGATATCGTCAAGAGCTACAACTGAAGATGCCACGGTAAAATATTATTGTAGATATCATCAAGAAGTACAACTGAAGATACCACGGTAAATTATTATTGTGGATATCGCCAAGAGTTACATGTAAATATACAATGGTATATTAACTGAAGACACCATTCCTACTTCGGCAAGAACGTTAAAACATACGAGTTTCACATAAATCTACATATGCTGCCGAGACATATCTACCAGGGTGAAGCTTTGTCATACACCTGTGGTGGTCAACGTTACGTATATATTGACGTAGATCCATCTTGCTTCACATAACTGTAACATACTTACTCAACCATGTAATCAGAGAACACCATACAGACTAGTTAATGCGTGAACAAATGTCACCTGTCAAACCAGCTAATAATGATAATGATGATGATAATTGTGAATTTATAATGCGCCATTTCCATGTACAAGGCACACGCTCAAAGTGCTAACACGGAATCTGATTATTTACCCCGGATAACCCAAGCTGCCTGTGGGGCGCTAGAAGGTTAATAGTCACATGACTTATCCCACCGGGTACCCATTTTCTGCTGGGTTAACATTCACAAGTATTATCAAAGACATTTATCAACACAACTGTATCAACCTAACAACCGTCCCCTCAAGTTCTGCACCAAACGTTACAGATACGTCCATCAGTCTCCCACAATGGTGTACATCACCAGCTCACAAGACAATACAGTACGTACATGATGCAGTTATAGACTCTCCTACCTGAAGTCCCATGCCTTTTCCTTTCTTTTTCTTACAGCACAACGCCATGTTGAATGGAAGTCAAAGTTGACCTTGAACAGCTGCTAGGTACCAATCGTCTCGGGGAAGGATCCTGGTTTCGTCTCCCGGCTTGTCTGAACAATATAATGAATATTTTAAAGACATCTTAAAACAAGGAATGAATCACTTCATTATTGATGGAAACGGTTCCTCAGTTGGTACTGAAGTGGTCAACCGTTTTCACTTTGGCTCTACGACGACTGGGACGTGTTGAGAGGCGACGAAGACGTCTGGGTTACGCTGTCTGAACCTACATGCAACTAACAATGGCTTACATAAAAGTATCGAACCAATAGCACTTAAAAAACTGATACTTTATGCGCTACATCTGAATAAATGCATTACCATATATCAGTCTGTTTCAGAATGCGATGGAGTAACTCCAAGCTGCTACCTACACGTGCCATCTATTTGCAGGATATTACAATTTTCCATTCCCTTTTTGTGTGAAACATATTTTAAATTACTGCAACAAACTCTAACAAACATAGAAAAACTGTTTCATATTGATCAACTCACATCAAAAGCCGGACAGTCCCTCTTACAGACACAAGGAAAGAAACCACTGGAATGGCTGATAACTAATTCTAAGGATGTTTATATCTATCTGTTCCGTTCAATGATTTTGTTGGTCAATTTATTGTCACTAGAATAACCTTGTTTTCTCCTGTTTACAGTTTATTGTGTGACCATTGGGCATATATGTATAGCTATATCTTTCCACGTATCGCTTGGTTTATTACAGGTGAGTCATGTGTTTGTTTTACTGTATCCGAAATTCGGGGAGCTTTTCTAACTCCGCAAAGCTATTGGTAGAAGCGCTCACAAGAACGCCCTCAAAACAACACGCACACGGTTCATTTGCACCACGGTGACCATCTGATTCTTTCACGAATCCCCTACTGGGACTTGGTGCGAATGTTTCTCGAAGTCAGTCATGCGGTGTTCACTGTATTTCTGGTCCATCAACCACGTGATGTTCTGCTTTGTTCACACGCTGATGTCCATGGTAGGAGTACTGCTGGGTGACGTTAGGCAAATGAACACTCACTGTTTTATTCAAATTGTTTGAATGGTGGGACCTGTCAGGAAGACAAGGCAACCTTAGCCTTTTCGCGAACACCTTGTGTTATCACTGATATTTAGTGGTCCGTTCATAGAATTGGACAGCTATTTTCCCCCTCAAGCTAAATAGAAACTATATCGAGATCAGTCAAGACTGTTTTCTCTGTCGCCGGTTCCCAAGACAAACAGGTAGTAGTAGCAGTAGTAGTAGTAGTAGTAGTAGTAGTAGTAGCAGTAGTAGTAGTGGAAGTAGTAGCCGTAGTAGTAGTAGCAGTAGTACCACCAGTTGTGATATTGTCAAAGACAAACAGGTAGTAGTAGTAGTAGTAGCAGTAGTAGTAGTAGCAGTAGCCGCAGTAGTCGTAGTTGATGAAGAAGTAGAAGTAGCAGTAGTAGTAGTAGCAGTAGTAGTAGTGGAAGTAGTAGCCGTAGTAGTAGTAGCAGTAATACCACCAGTTGTGATGTTGTCAAAGACAAACAGGTAGTAGTAGTAGTAGCAGTAGTAGTAGTGGAAGTAGTAGCCGTAGTAGTAGTAGCAGTAGTACCACCAGTTGTGATGTTGTCAAAAACAAACAGGTAGTAGAAGTAGTAGCAGTAGTAGTAGTAGCAGTAGTCGTAGTAGTAGTAGTAGATGAAGAAGTAGAAGTAGTAGCAGTAGTAGTAATAGTAGAAGTAAAAGTAGTAGTAGTAGTAGTAGTAGCAGTAGTACCACCAGTTGTGATGTTGTCAAAGACAAACAGGCAGTAGTAGTAGTAGCAGTAGCAGTAGTCGTAGTAATAGTAGTAGATGAAGAAGTAGAAGTAGTAGTAGTAGAAGTAAAAGTAGTAGGAGTAGTAGTAGCAGTAGTAGTAGTAGTAGTTGTAGTAGTAGTAGTAGTAGTGGAAGTAGTAGTAGTAGTAGTGGAAGTAGTAGTAGCAGTAGTAGTAGTAGTAGAAGTAGTAGTAGTAGCAGTAGTAGTAGTAGTAGTAGTAGCAGTAATAGTAGTAGTGGACGTAGTAGTAGTAGCAGTAGTAGGATGAGTAGAGAGTAGAAGTGGTAGTAGTGGCAGCAGTGGTAGAGTGGAAGTAGTAGCAGTTACATTAGTGGTAGAGTAGTAGTGGTAGCAGTGGTGGTGAGTAGTAAGTAGAAGTGGTGGCAGTGGTAGTGGTGGTGGGAGAGTAGAAGTGGTAGCAGTGGTGGTAGAAGTAGAAGTGGTAGCAGTGGCTGTGGTGGTGGGGGAGTACAACTACAAGTAGTAGTGGTAGTAGTGGTGGTGGTGGGAGTAGTGGCAGTGGTGGTGGGAAGTGGAAGTAGTAGGCAGTGGCAGTGGTAGTAGTGGTAGAGTGGTGGTGGAAGTAGAAATGGTGGCAGTGGTGGTGGTAGAGTGGGAGTAGAGTGAGTGGTGGAGAGTAGAGTGGTAGAGTGGTGGTGGGAGTGGTGGCAGTGGTGGTGGAGTGGTGGTGGTGAGTGGCAGTGGTGGTGGGAGTGGCAGTGGTAGAGTGAGTAGTGGTGGCAGTGGTGGTGGAGTAGTAGTGGTGGTGGTGGTGGTCAGTTGGTGGTAGAGTGTGGTGGTGAGTGAGTAGTGGTGGTCAGTAGTCGTAGTGGTGGAAGTGGTAGTGGTAGTGGTAGTGGTGGTAGTGGCAGTGGGGAGTTGTAGCAGTGAGTAGTAGAAGTAGAGTAGTGGTAGTGGCAGTGAGTGAGTGAGAGTGAGTGAGTAGTGGCAGTGGTGGTGGGAGTAGAGGAAGAGTGGTGGTAGTGGCAGTGGTAGTGGTGGTGAGTAGAGTAGTGAGTGGTAGTGGTGGTGGTAGAAGTAGAGTGGTGGCAGTGGTGAGTGAGTGGGAGTGGAGTGGTGGTGGAGTGGAAGTGGTAGAGTGGTGGTAGAGTGGTGGCAGTGGTGGTGGGAGTGGTGGTGGGAGTAGAGAGTGGTGGCAGTGGGAGTGGTGGCAGTGGTGGTGGTAGAGTGAGTGGTGGTGGCCGTGTGTGGTGGTAGTGGTGGGAGTGGTGGTGGTGGTGGATGAGTGGTAGTGGTGGCCGTAGTGGTTGTAGTAGTAGAAGTAGTAGTAGTGGTGGTAGTGGTAGTGTAGCAGCAGTATGCGTAGTAGTAGTAGTAGTAGTAGTAGTAGTAGTAGTAGTAGTAGTAGTAGTAGTAGTTCCACCAGTTGTGATGTTGTCATTCCCCCGAAATAAGCACATCGTGAGGATCAGTTTCTTTCATACTTGTATACAACTATTCAGTGTGAGACAAAACTCTCCATAAAACTATATGACAAGATGGAACTTTCCTACAGTCAACTTTCCTTTATGTCAACAATAGTCCATCCGAGTCCAGCTTTCGAGGTACAATCTAGCATCCCCTTTTCACAAGGACTTCAAAGAGCAAACGTAGTTGGGTCAAGATTGAATTCCAGGTCCCGGCACCCCTCATGGTAATGTATCATTTTGAAATTGTTATGGTGGGCACCTGAAGGACATTTCCCAATTTCATGCATCACTGACAAAAATGTTTCCCTATTTTGACATGTACCAAATGCTTTTTTATTGACAGGCCTTTGGGAGTGTTTTTGATAAGAGCTAGCAGGTTACGCTAATATTTTCTGATATCGTCACTTTTTCTTTTGGATTCATGAATCGATGCTGGTTATATAGTCGGTTTTGCCTACGACAGAAATTACAAAAGATTGCACGGATTTGTCGCTTTTATTTATCTGTCGTAAAACAGTATTTTAGTTTGACCAAGGAGACTTGTAGACAGCTATCGGGAAAGCTTTCATCTCCATACCTTATTTACTGTGTTCCTGTTAATAAATATGGAATATTTGTATTATTGTTAGAAATATTGATAAACGTATTGTAACTCGAAGTTCAAAGTAATAGTCGTTTGTTAATACTCAATTGTTATTTATTTGTTAACACACGAATGAGTTCGTATTATAAGTATTTACTAAGGAAATATATCATATAGGCGTTTACTGCGGCTTGAAATGGCCATACTTCTAACAACACAAGAATGAGATCGTAGTAATTCTCGCATGTGCTCGTTGTTAAACACAATGTGGCCATCTGCAAACACATAAACACTGCCATGTCAAACAAATATGGCCGTAGGACCAACTCACTTATTACTCGTTCAATCGGTCGGAGTGAGTTATTGTTAAATAATTGACATTCATGATGGTATCAAGTGACCTCACGGTAAACACACGGAGGCCACAAAACTTGATATTCCCCTTCAATGCCTGCAGATCAAGGCCAATGGCCCCGGACCGCATGTCAAACTTGATTTCATAGAGCCGAGGGCGCGTTTCTAGACGACTGGACGATATATGTGATATGGTTGTAAGTTTGAGGAAGCGTCATAACTTGTCCTGTCTCTTCGTGTGTCTATGGTTATCTTACGATCAGAACCAATCAGTTCCTGATAAAACCAAACACCGCTGTATCGAATGAAGGGTTGCCACGAAGAAAACGTTTGGTCCCTGCGTCTTCCTTACTTAATCATCACTTTGCGGTTCTGTCGAACTTCTGATAACTCGAAGTATGTACACTTCGACTCAGTGTTTGATTGTACGTTCATTTCCTATGTAACACTGGGCGAGTATAACTGAAAATAATAATCTTTGTGGTAGGGTGGTTTGTAATTGCTACAGCTCAGAGCCAGTTAAAATATGGTGAAATCCTGAATTGAAATTAATAGTCATCTAACGCTGCGTGGTGTTTACGAAAAAATTATGTTATAATTTATATTATAATACTATAACACACTACTTCCTTCTATAACATTTTTATTCATATGGGCTATTTCCAACAAGATGACATTTATCACTTTATACATTGTACAAAACAGAGGATGATATGTTCACGTAGTTCGTCTATTCTATGGAACACAATGCGTCTTGCGGTCCCCATCACATTAGATATTTTATCTGTTATAATAATATGGATTCTTATATAAACTCCACACCGAAGTGTGCTCAAAGCGCTAACAAAGTTCCACAGTTCATTATTACCCAAGCTACCCGTGAGGCGCTAG